TGGATGGATAATCCTAATATTATATTAATATTAAATAATAAATAATAGATTCGTTCTAGGGCCCTACTCCCTCCCTACTATCCATGGCCACCACCACCACCACCACGTCCTTTAACCAGAACCAGAACCAGAATCCACATCCTAAAAGTAACACACAGCATATCCTCCTCCTTCTTCTTCTTCCCCCACCACCACGCTACTCTGTTATTCCATTTCCATTCTTATCCCCTTTCAATCAATCCCCCACATTCTCATGACCAGTTAATTCCAAACAAACAGAAATGGGCACCGGTGCATCGAAGAACCCCGACAGCAGCTCCCATGGCAGCGACGAGCGAGAAGACCAAGCCGGCGGGCAACTCTACGTCTCTCTCAAAATGGAGAACTACAACCCTAAAGGCGACCTCATCCCCCACGTCTACGGCTCCGTTCCCCTCGTCGGCTCCTGGGACCCCTCCCGAGCCGTACGTTTTCGCTTCCCCTTTCATTTTTATTTAATTTCTAAATTCATTTGCAAAAATGATGAAATCGATTCGCATACTCTTCTCCTTCCAATTTTGGTAATTAATTACTGATGAACTAGCTATACTGTGAACTCAATTCAGCTCTCGATGGAGCGGGAATCGGCTTCTATGTGGGAATTAAGTTTTGTTGTACCCCCTAATCATGGTAATTACCTCCATTATTTTATAATCTGTACCCTCAATTTGTTGTGTCTGTGTATTTTTCAAATTCTGATAATCTCTCTGTCTCGTTTATTTGAAATTTGAATAGAGACGTTGGATTTCAAGTTTCTGTTGAAACCGAAGTACGGCAATGTCCCGTGTATTTTGGAGGAAGGTTCGAACAGGCAATTGACAGGGGGTGCGTTGGGAGGGGACAGGAGGTCGGCTATGTTTAAGTTCAGCAGTGATGATATTCTTGAGTACAAAGTGTTCATTAAAGCGGATAGAGTTTCGCCGTTCGATCTTGCAGCTAGTTGGAGAACGTATCAGGATAATTTCCAGCCTTCCTCTGTTCGTGGGATACCAGACGTCAGTATGAATTCGGCGGCCGATGCCAGTAACGAGGTATGTGTGGACCTTGCCATATTATGGGAAATGTTCTCAACCTCTTAGATATTTAATGCCTTATCGAGTTCGTATAATGATGTCAATGCTTTAATTTCATTAGATAATTAATAGCTGGTTGCTTGTGTGATCTCTTATTTTTTTCCTCTATATCTGACTTGCGAGGATTTGGATTGTGTTATCTGAATTGTTTACAAATTTAATTGGCTGGAGATATAGATATAGGGTCAACTATATTGGTACCAAAATTTAATTCAGAATTTAAAGTGGTTGAAAATATAGATCTCTGTCCGAATGTGTTGGCACAAAAAAACTGTTCATATTCATTTTGCCTTTTTGGTTCACATTTGTGGAAAAAGGGGCCTCTAAAAGTTTTGAATTCTTATGTTGTGCTTTTGTTAGTTAATTTCTAATGAGGTGTCAGATGAACAGATCTAAAATGAGTGATTGGTTAGTGTCTAAAAGTTCGTTATTCCACTAGCAGGCTAATTTTGTTGGTGGTCGATTGAATTGGTTTTAGTAGAAACTCTAAATTAGCAACTCTTATAGTTCCACACAAATTTCTGAAAATGCTCAGACTAAAGTATATTTTGGAAAACTGCCACTTAGTTGTATACAATTTTATCAATATCTTACTCCCTCTCTTTTAATTGTCTTAATCTTGTTGCTGTACACTTCAGGTTTTTGTGTGCAAATAATTTTTCTGTTCTTTTTTGGCCTTTATAAGTTTTTATACTTGAATTTCTCTTTATATGGTTTTCATTAGTATTATCTACTACTTCATTTTTTCTTCACCTTCCTGTACAGAATGAATCTTCGGCGAGCTTGGAGCTTGATATTGAGCACTACGTTGTTCCAGCTCCAGCAACATCTGCAAATTCAGGTTTGGTTTATGCAGCTAACATGACAGAAACTCCTAGGTCACTGAGTCGTGTTGGGGTATTTTCCAAGACTGATGGCTCTAGTGGAGCATTACATCACCAGAAGGATAGTGGTGTTCCTGTTGACCGACCTGATTTAACGGTGTTGTTCTTTTTCTTATCTGTCATTCATTTATGATTTAAATGCCATAACTTTTATTTATGTTGTGTTATTCATGCTTCCCCAGCAAATGACAACCTAATTCGCAGAAGTATGGTGTTAAGACAGAATTAGTTCCTTTGCAGATTGTAGTCTTCCTTGGTATGGAGATATTGGTCGTTACGTAATTCTTAATTAAGGAAGTGTACCCTTTTGATAACCAAAATCTTTTACATGAAGTTGCAATATCACCAACTTCGTAGCAGTATGGTGTTAAGATATAGTTAGTACTTTGTTTTTTTTAAGGTTAATCTTTGATAACTAAGATATTCTACTTGCAACTGCAACACCACCAGATTGCGATTTTTGGGTAGAATGTGAACCTGTCAGGAAATTGCTATTCCTTTTCCAATACAACAGAATGATCACTCTGTTAATCCACTTGTTGGGAGGATGAAAATTGCCTGCTTTTCAAATAAAAACAGAACTTAAAAGTTATATATATATATATATATATATGTGTGTGTGTGTGTGTGTGTGTGTGTGTGTGTGATTTTTGTATTGGCCATTTATAGTGGTACTGTTGTGAACATACATCTTGCTGTCTTGGAACGTACTTATTTATCACTCAACAGAACTTGCTTCCATACTTTCTCTTGCCTTTCATATACTCACCACTGTAATATGACTCTTCTTTTAATCATCATTAACTTTCTACCAGGGGATGCAAGTCATTGTCCCAGACACAGCAAAGTATTCCTTAGCACCTGGCTTGGTTGAATCAAAGTCGTTTGGAGCCTTTTCATCTATGCAGAAGCAAGAAGGTCACAGAGGACTCTTTGTGGATAGGGGTGTAGGATCTCCTAGACTAATGAAATCAGCTAGTTCTTTTACTGTTGATCTCAAACTTGATTCAGAATCCAAGGTTTGTGGGAATGCACACTGTTAACTCTGAAGAATGCCGAAAATATATACCCCAAATCTTGTTTTCTTATTCTTTTTTTTTTTAAAATCACCTCTAAGTTATTACTCATCGATTATTTCTAGAACTCTATGCCAGCTGCTGCAGGAGCTGTTGCAGCTGGCGCTGTAGCAGATCAGATGCTGGGACCCAAGGAGGATAGACATCTGGCAATTGTCTTGGTACTTGCACTATACACTGGCTTATGCTTGATACAAGTTTCATTTTCTCTTTCTGATGCTTGTCAGAAGTTATGATTGCATATTATATAAAGAGCCCCTTAAACATTGTTATGAATTGTTCGACTCCATGTCAAAATTTCTGACCGAATTTACGCGTACCACAGGTTGGGTTGCCTGCTCGTGGCAAAACTTTCACTGCAGCTAAACTTACGCGGTATCTTCGTTGGTTAGGTCATGATACCAAACACTTCAATGTTGGGAAGGTAATTGTTCTCGCATTGTTATTTCTTTTTATTCTTCATATGGGATTAGAAAAACATAAAGATGCATTGTTTTTTATTCTGTTGCAGTATCGGAGGTTAAAGCATGGAGTTAACCAGGTACTATCAGTTGGTGACATCTCTTCTCATGTTTTGTTGGATTGTCTCATTAAGCACCATTATTTAAGTGGTGTCAATTTCATTGTCCCTGTCTATGTGGAATATTTAATTTGCCAAATGTACCCTCCCGCACATTATTATTAAAAGGAAAAATGAGAAAAAAAAGAGCAACGACATAGAAATATGACTAAGAAATTCCTCTTTTTTGTGTAAGTTTGATTCCTTGGATGTGCATGTACATGTGCTTTTTTTTTTTTTTTTTTTTTCTTTTAAGGAATAATAATCACCTCATCTGTTCAGATAGAGGTTCCCCCAGATCTAAAGCTAAGCATTTTAGTATAACTAAATTTATGGTACCATGATCAATATAGAACTACAAAGAGTGTGTGATACACATGCTTAGGCCTTCAGGCAATAACTGTCACCATATGGAACTTGTTGCAGTGTGTTGGCCTATTATTCTTCCTACCTACCTTTATAAAATCAAGGTTACTTGTTGCGTTTGGATCTACTTTTTGATATTACATAATTCTTGATGCAGTCAGCTGATTTTTTCCGAGGTGACAATCCGGAAGGCTTGGAAGCACGAAATGAGGTAACATTTCAATTGGACAATTATTAGAACTGAGCAATTTTGTCAAGAATATTCACACCATTGTCTTGAATGAGCTATATAATTTTCTTTGCTTAATAGACTAGTGATAGTCGAGAGATAATTGTTTAGAAATTGACGCTTGCTGAGACTCCCTTTCCACACTTGTTTCATAACTCCCATTTCGGGACGCCCAAAGTATAATTTTCAATCCGAAGAGTCATTTTATTTTATATTTTTCTCATACCACCTTTCTTTTAAAAACAAAGTTGAGAAACAAGTACTACGACTGTCTTCCCCTCCTCATCCCTCCTTCTTGTTGCTGTCTTCCTACCCTGTCTGCATCACATGATATAACAAAAGTAGGGAAATCGAATTTGGAGGTTAAAAATAACCTTGAGATTGGACCTAGTTACGAAATAAACCAACTTATAAAATTACAAATACTTGATGTATTAGAAATAGCGCCTTGAGGTTTGTCTTTGTTTTACGAACCCCACCTTTCAATAGGCCGTTCAATCCACAATGTAGAACTAGATTTTCTTGCTTTTATTTTTTTGTCGTAGTATACAAACTTACTTGACTTTTTTTCTTTTGAATAGGCCAAACTTCAAGGGTACTAATGTATATAATATTACCATGAAATGGATGATGTCTCTAAATTTTCAAATCTGTCCAATAAGATTTTATAAGTGCTATCATTTGCGCATTTACCCCATGCCATTAATTTCACAACCCTTGGGGCATGAATACTTTTAAACAAATTCCCATCCTAAATTTTCAGAAATACACGTTTCTTCTCATTATATGCAAGGGATGGAACACAGATGTTTATAAGCGTCTTATCTTATAGCATGCAACCCAGGAAATTATAGAAGCCTAGGCTCAATGATTATAGTGGTAAAAAAGTCTACTCCATTCTATGACAGCAACCAGCACTATTTCTTCTCTGTAAATCCTACTTGAGGGTTCTGGAAAGAGTATAAAGGCCTTCTGAGCATCAAAAATATATAGTTAAACAATATTCTATATTGAGATATTACGATGAAAATATCATGTTGTTATTTTTTATTTTCTGCATGCCAACCGATTAATATGTTATACTATCAAAAGATATGCTTTTGCATGATTTTGATCTCCCCTTCTATATCTAGTTATGTCAAAACCCGCTTATATTCTTCAAACTGGAGTTATGCAATTATAAAATCCATCCGAACTTGTTTCCCGTGCATTGATTTTTTTACGTTGTCAGTTATACATTTATTAACCTTTTTCCTTGCACATAGTTTTAATTCATGCCGTGCTACTAGGTAGCAGCACTTGCAATGGAGGATATGATATCTTGGATGCAAGAGGGTGGTCAGGTAAGTCATTTAACTCTGTTAGTGTGTACAACTATCTGATCCTTTCATAATGCAATTCGTAACTATGTTTAGGTTGGGATATTTGATGCTACGAATAGCACCAGGGAAAGAAGGAATATGCTTATGAAAATGGCTGAAGGCAGATGCAAGGTAATATTATTGAGTGTTGTTTGCTGTATTCCTAATGAATTATTATGCATTGATACTTATTGATTGTATATCCCTGTTGAGTCTCGTTTAATAAATTTTGTTGCATATGCTTTGATATAGTTTATGTGCCTGGCTTGAGAGATGGTTGTATCAAAGCTACTTTGTTGACCAAGGCACAAAATCATAAACAAGTTGAAATAGCTTAGAAGAGAATGATACCTAGCTGTTAAGGGGGTCTGTAATCTTTGTAGAGCAATGGCATGGTTTTCGACTATCCCACAGTGTGAGGATCACCCAGGAAGAAACGGAGGAAACTTCTTATTTTCCTTTTCTTTCCTATTCTCTTCTGGGTAATCTGTGGCAGTGGGAGAGACAATTAAGGCTGAGGGCCTTCTGAGAAAAAAGGGGCACAAGAATTTAATTAGCAATAGGTAGCTACAGATATTTTGATTGTTTTAGTTATGAGGTGCAGATGAAGTTAGATTGGAACATAGATCTTGACTTAGGCATGTTAAGTAAGATGGCTAAGAGTTAGTGTCAGTGGAGCAGTTCAAAACAATTTTACTGCTTTTTACTTGTCTTTGACATATTTTTCCTGATCCATGCTAGTACAACCTATATGTAAAATAAATATTGCTTGATCTTTTCTAGTGAAAATATGTGGCCATGTTGCCACCTTAAGTTGTCACCGATCTCCTCTCTTTGTCCCCTCTGTTCTACATCCGTATGCTAAATTCGGGTTGTCTTTTGTGCTGTTTTACAATTATATATCTTGTAAATGGTATATTTCTAATTTGTGGACAAATATTGAAGAATGTCACATGCTCAAGAAATACATTTTGTCCTGGAATTAATATGATCAAGTTGTCCCCAAAGTTTATAAAGAATTAGTGGGTCCAGATGATACTCCTAAAATTTTAATTAAAGTATTAAAGTACAATATGATTTAATTTGGTAAATATTAAAGGAACTTAAATATTCAATCTAGTATTTATGCTGATTGATATGTGGTCAGGTTTAAGCAAGACTTATGCTTTATACATAGTTTCTTGTTTCTAAAGGAATTTTGGGCAGGGTCACTTACTGTTTAAGGGGGCTATGTCCAGGAAATTTGTATGACTTTTGATGTTTTACAAGTTTGGATGAATTTCAATTTGGATTGCCATGTTATTCTTGCCCTCTGATTACCTATTTCACATTTGTTTTACATGTCTGTCTGTGGCTTATCATGGTCAACACAATGCACGAGGACTTGTGTTGAATAATATTCACTACATGTCTGACTAATACATGATTGATATTTTTTACTCACAGATTATCTTTTTAGAGACATTATGCAATGACCGGAAAATAATTGAAAGGAATATACGCCTCAAAGTTCAACAAAGCCCAGATTACGCAGAAGAGTAAGATGCAAGAAGATTTCCTAGTTATTTTTGTATACCATACTTTACATTGTGATTTGTGGTATCTTTCAGACCCGATTTTGAAGCAGGGTATCATGACTTTAAAGTCCGACTGGAGAATTATGAAAAGGTAGATCCCTGGACATACTTTTGGCTAGTAAGAATTAGTTGTGTGTGATGAATGCTGGAGAGAGAGAATGTTTTACGGGTACTATTTCTTTGTGATTCAGTTTTATGAGCCAGTTGAAGAAGGCTCTTATATCAAGATGATCGATATGGTCAGTGGCCACGGTGGACAAATACAAGTAAACCACCTTTCCCTTGGTATTGCAGATCACATGAATTTATTTGAATTGCCTTATCTATATATATTTGACTTAATATTTGAATTTATCCCTGTGCCTCCCCCTCTTGAGCTAATGTGGTTGCAGAACCCCCCAACTCCCCCCCAACCCACCCACACACACACCACCACCACCGCACACACACACACAAAAGGAGAAAAAAACAAGAAAAAAGAAAAAAAGAAAAGAGGAAAAAAGGAAATAAGGAAAATTTGGACTGAGCTGAGATGTTGTTTGAATATCTTACAAGTGTGATGGCGTTTCATGAAACAGGTGAACAACATTAGTGGCTACCTTCCCGGGCGGATAGTATTCTTCCTGGTATGTCGTACTTATCTTGTATAGGGATATGGCTTGCCTTTTCTTGCAAAACACTGGATATTTCCTTTTTCTTTTGGTTTGTTTTTTCATATTTTTTCCATTTTTACCTTTGTTTTTCCTTGGGAAAGGGGGAGGGGTTAACCTTATTTGTGATATGTGATGTGACTTCTAATGGTGTTGCCTGTTATTTGGCAGGTGAATACACATCTGACTCCTCGTCCAATTTTGCTTACGAGGCATGGAGAGAGCCGAGACAATGTCAGAGGTCGAATTGGCGGTGATAGTATGATAAGGTTTCTCATATGTGCAACATGAAAATGTTGTTTAACCTGTTTTGCTTGCATTCACAATTTACCATAGCTAAATCTGATTTGATATCTGAACTATGAATCCTTTGTAACCAAGACTCAGTTTACCGTTTCTGATGGTAAACATTCCTTTTCAGGATAGTCCTCCAATAAACGTGAGAGCTATTTTGCCTAAAATTATCCCCCCCTGAAAACTTTGTATAAATAACTATCTATTTTGCATCTAGTTATGTGGAAAACTTAGAGAAATGGAGAGAGAAATACATTTTGTGCAATTATGCTTTATGGAGAAGAGGATTGTTCTCAAGGTCTATTAAGGCAGAATAGGCGGTTGATCCCTTTCATCAAGAGCTTCATATCATGTTCCATTCTAGAATATGATGTTTTTTTTTTTTACTTTTTTATTCGAGTTACAGATGTATAGTATTATGATCTCGTTACTTAACATAATCAATGTGCTTACTGTATAATTGTTAATGTAGAATGCAAATTTCTTTTGCAGTGATTCTGGTGAGCTTTACTCAAAGAAACTCGCAAATTTTGTTGAGAAACGTCTGAAAAATGAAAAGGCTGCTTCAGTAAGTTTCTCCATCTTAATAGTTCTGGGTTTTGGGATATTAATAATAATAATATATTAATGTAAATAAATGCTTCTATAGAGTTCTGGAACTTGATTTGAACTTATTATGTCTCTCAATCAGATGATCTGTTTCAAATACCTGTGCTTATTCTAATAGAAACATACAAATCAATTATATGGGGAATTTTTTCATAAATAATATGAAATATATTGTACATGGTCTGCAGTCTATTATGCATAAAATATTCTGATGAAGTTCAATATTTTTCTGATTCTGTTTCCCCTTTGCTTAGATATGGACTAGCACATTGCAGAGAACGGTTTTAACAGCAAGCCCAATAGCTGGATTCCCTAAGGTCGTTTAATAATTTCTATAATTTATTTCAAATTACAAAGTCTAATCGATGGCTGTTGCATGCTTACTTTGATCTGATATCGGATATGATCCATTATGTTATATTCTTTTTTAGATACAATGGCGTGCCCTTGACGAAATTAATGCTGGCGTATGTGATGGGATGTCATATGAAGAAATAAAGAAAAATATGCCCGAGGAATACCAGTATGATTCAGTTCTCATGACTTACTTTCGTGATTACTTTTCATCTATTTTTATGTGTTAAGAATTAAGAGTCATTATATTTTAAGTGACACCATCTCTAAAAGATTCACAAAAATGAAAATCAACTGCACTTGAGGGATGGATTAGAGTTGTTTAATATTAAATGACAAACATCTTTAAATTCTTAAGTTTTCAGATGAGGTAGTAACTCAAACATTTGATATTGTAATACTCTCTGACCTGAAAGTGGTATATTGCATATCACGCGCATCTAGTACCGTTATTTGTTTTCGTCATTGTTCAGTAGACAAGATTAGAATATCATCTTATGATGCTTGAGCTTCATGTTTGTCACTTGACAGCAACCAAACCTACAATGACTATTAAATAAATGGCCGACTGACCCTTTTATAGTACTTATTTATCTTAATGACCTGAATATCCTGTCCTACTGGTGTAAACCCAAGCTATAATTAATGAGTTAAGTGGATGGGTAATTACAAATAGATTTGGAAACTACGAGAATATCGATAAGGATCTATAGTTTGGTAGCTTTTAGTAAACCTTTAATTGTTAAATTGGAGTTTATCAAAAAACGAGACTTAGTAAATTATAAATATTGAGAAGGAATATATCCAGTCCCACCCTTATAGCCATATTCCATGTTGAAGGAAGTATGTCAGAATTCGACTTGTCTCAATAAATTTGTTAGGTGATTTGGCACAATACTTACACTGAAAATTTATCTACTTAACGTTGGAAGAATAGAGTTCAGCAAACATTTTACACAGTAATCTATTATATTTAGTCATTCTTTTTAGGGAGAACTTGAAAAGCAAATTATTTAAATTTTAGTAAATCATAACTTTTGTGAATCTCTTGTCATAAACAGTTGGAAGGTCTTAGTCTTCAGTCCATTTTTCATCAACATTAATCCCATTCTATGGTGTTAATAGGCATACTACTCAGATTAATCATATGATAAAAAAAAAAATAACGGAATTTTACGGTCATTGCATTTAATGCTTATAATATGTGAAACTATTTTACTAAATCACGTCCACCTTTTCTTTTCCTTTTTTTCGAAAATGTCATTCTTTCACTCATATCTTATTCTATATATTTCACAGATCACGTAAAAAGGACAAACTGAGGTACAGATATCCTCGTGGGGAGTCTTATCTTGATGTTATACAAAGGTTTGTGTTCTGCAGTTTTAGTGACATATTTGTTATTGGAGAAAAAGTTTAACTCTATAGTACTGATCGTAATGTGTTTACCGTTCTTCTCTTTCAGGCTGGAACCCGTGATTATTGAGCTTGAACGACAAAGAGCTCCTGTTGTGGTCATATCTCACCAGGTATACATTTGAAAATATCAATTTATTTTTCTCGTCAAAATGGATTGTGCTTCAGATGGCAAATGACTTGTTTCGAATTTTCCAGGCTGTGTTGAGGGCTTTGTATGCTTATTTTGCTGATAGGCCGTTGAAAGAGATCCCTCATATCGAGGTAATTTTTTCATGCTTGTACTTATGGTAGTGAAATATTTTCTATGTAGACATATGATAGAAAACACTGATAGGTTATTTGTTTGATAATTAGATATTATGAAATGTTCATGACATCAAAATACCATTCTACCCTGGAACATTTGTTCTAATATATTATGTTTCCCTTCTAGTGGCATTTTAGATAATTTGAGATGCAAAGAAGATACATAAAGAACCTTTGACCTCACAATCTGTGTAGGACAAATGTCTCTTTGTTCGTAACCTAGACACATCTAGTTCCACCCAATTAGAATCATTTAGGAATATAATTATAGTCGGAAATAATCCCGTTTGCAGCATAAAGGAATGTAGGTGAAACTCAAATTGCATGAGAGGTATAAATTTATTGCTCTCTTTTATAATCTGATTAAAATTTCACTTCAACGGTTCATTTTTATTTTTTGCATTTCGTTTCAGAAGCTGACATGTAGTAGTATAATTCGGACCCGAAGCTAAACTTTTTTTTTTCCCGCTTCTTACATACAAACTAATTGCCTTCACTTACTGTAAAATGCAGATGCCTCTTCACACAATAATAGAGATACAAATGGGAGTTACTGGCCTCCAAGAGAAAAGATACAAGCTTATGTGATATAGCACCATCAATTAATTTGTCCCAAGTAATAACACAAAAATGTAGTACTTCTAGTGAATTTTTACCCACACTTTGTATGCCATACTTTAAGGCATATGATAAAATAAAATTTATAGGTAACTTCGAAGAGTACTACTCTCCGTATTCGAAACAATCAATAAAGCTGCGCTCTTTTTTCCTGGGATTTTTGTCGCCCCTATTTTGCTTGTATAGAATTACGTACTATAATCCTTTTTTTTATTCTTCTTACTCCACCAACTAGGCTATCTTTTGCGGATAATATATTTTCTTCTGTTGAATGTAAAGATGAAGGGGTGTGTCGTAGAATTTTTATTCAAGGTTATTTTTGGAAGAAAAAAATAAGTAAGCTGTGAAAGTAAAAATTATGTGTGCTGCAAATGGCTTCTCCCAAATTGAAATGAGGGACCTAAAAATTATTAGTAATTATTAAAGAAAAAAAAACTAATACACACACACACACACACACACACATACTCTTGAACACTTTAAAGTTTAAATGATCACTTATTGTTAGCCCTTCTTTATCAACAAATCCAGGTCATGTAAATGGAGTGTGAATAATACACATACACACACACACACACTCTTTAACACTTTCCTACACACAGAAACTTCATTCATTCTATACATTAGAAAAACACAGCACACACGTTCATGCATAACTTTCACAGCACACAGTGTACTTACTCCATTACCGCCTAGCTCTAAATGAATTATATGCCATTATACTAATGGATATCGGCGCTATCATATACATTGCGATTTTCTTCTTGTTTATTATCGCAATCGTATTTTCGTATCTGAAATATTGGTGGGAGGTATCAGCTAATAAAGGTCTCCATTCTTCTGTCATTTCTTCCATACCTAGATTTGTTTTCATGCATAATAATCATCACAATACTAATAATAATAGTAATAGTAATAATAATAATAATAATGATAATGATAATGGATTATTATTGGAATGTGCTGTATGTTTGAGCTCATTTGAAGATGGAGACGAGTGCAGGAAACTAGGGTTGTGCGGACACGAATTCCATGTCGAGTGCATCGATCGGTGGCTTCGATCCCACGACACTTGCCCTATTTGTCGTGCTCGACCAGATGTTTCTATTGCAATATTGTCGCAATAAAACCTTTCAAAATTCGAGCAGATAATGTCAAATTATGAATATAATTAGGTCAATCCGTCCATCTAATATTCGACAAATTCGGCATTCGATGACATGCTCTTTGTATTCTAATTATAACCTAAGAAAAATTAGAGTACAAAGAACATGTCATCAAATGCCGAATTTGTCTACGATAGATAATATTAGATGGACGGATTGACCTAATTAATTTGACATATACATACATGTGTATATACATGCCTTGTACTTTTATTTTTACCTTAGAAGATAAAACAGAAAATCAACATTGAATTACTAGATTTCGAGTTATGTCTTGTAGACAATTTGAATTTAGCATAGCCTTTGATTTTGAAATAATCGAAGTTCGAAAGATTGAGAAGAGTTCACAAGACTTTACATACTTTGAATGAGAACTAAGAGTAAAATATAAATTCGGGGATATTACAAATAAGCCTATGATAGACAACTTATTTTAATCTACATATGTCCATTCCCAAATATCTTTTACAGAAAAATTCAGATGAAGTACAAAGATATGTAAACGACTAAAAGACTATCTCACATTTGATATACTCCAATTTCATTCATTTAACACCAATTCGACCCCAATAATTTCATCAACTATTCATCTAACCCAATTTTGATCGGTCGCTGTCGTCGTTGACTCTTTTTTCTTTCAAAAAAAAAAAAAAATTGCTTTTCCGCCGCCGCTGATCGGCGGTGAACGCCGTTGGAGACCGGCGTTGACTGCCGGTCAAAAGCAGAAAAAATGTTAAACGTCACACGTGTACGTATATAGTTAATGGTATCCGGTATTTTTTTTGAGTTTCACAGGCAGTTTCACAGGCAGTCCGTTTTTAATGCAAGATCATATATATATATTTCACCTCCCATTTTATTTTTTCTATTTTTAAAATTTGTTTTATAAGAGGCTCCTAGTGGTTGCTAAAGCTTAGTTGGTACCCTCATTTTCTAAATGACCATTTTTTAGTCCTTTTATCGACTAATTTACGTTCACGTAAATGGAGTGTACCCTATGCATGCAATGCATACTTGAACACTGTCCTACACGCAAAAACTTCTTCCATTCTCCGCACTACAAAAACACACCACCATGAACACACACTCGTGCAACTCTATTACGTCTTGGCAAATTATTGCCCTAACACACACACGCGCGCGCGCGCGAATGTACCTCTATATATTAGTCCGTCATCACTTCCACTATTTTGCCTACTAATGAATGCAATATTTATGGACATACTCTCGAAAATCATGCTTATCGCAATCGTGTCCTGGTTTGTAGTAATTTGGTTTGTGGCAATATTTCTTTGCTATACCAAATGGTTCCTAGCTCAAGGTGCCACGTCATCATCATCATCATCACCACCACCGCCGATCTTAGTACCTCCGACTATGGTGTTTGGTTTTCCCATGATTAGTCTCGAAAACTTGTTTACCATAAATAGTAGAATAAGCACCAACAACAACTTATATGTTCGCTATCGCCGCTCTCCTTTAAATACTAATAAGGGCCTAGATTCTTTTGCCATTTCTTCGATTCCTCAGTTTGTTTTCAGATCAGGAGAACACAATCAAAACAATAATAGTGGATTGGTATTATTGGAATGTGTTATATGTTTGAGTTTATTTGAAGACGGAGACAAGTGCCGGAAACTAGGGTTGTGCGAACACGCCTTCCATGTGGAGTGCGTGGATATGTGGCTTCGCTCTCACAAGACTTGCCCCGTTTGTCGTGCTCGTGCAGATGTTCGTGCAGTTCGTACGAATCATGGAACTAATAGTAATAATAATAATAATAATGTAATGAATAGTGAAGAATTTTGTGAGATGAGGGTAGTGAGGGTGGAGGAACCTAGTAGGTTGGATATTGTTGTCGAGGTTCCAAACATTCAAAATAATATTGGATCAATGGATGCATGCACTAGTCAAAGTAATTAGGAGATTATTTATTATTATTAGGGTTAAATACAAAAACACCGTTTACTATGAACTTTGCATTATATACCTCCTATCCTACACATAAATACAAAAACCCCCTACCGTTATTTTTTTTCCAAAATATGACGAAAATAACCCTAATAAAGCATATATACAAGGGTTTGTTTTAGCCATTTTCGACTATATATTTTACTATTTTATTTCAATTTTACCTTGGATAATTTGGTATTTATATTTTTTTCTCCAAAAACATCTAATTGCTTAGATTTTTTTTTTTCTAATTTTCTGAATAAAACCTTTTATTTTTGTCATTTTGAGTTTCTTCATTTTTTTTTTCTTAAATGTCTTCTGGCAGTTCAAACATCCTAAGATTACAAACATCTTTACAATCCTATGATTGTTGAGAATTTGAACTACCGGAAGACATTTAAGAGAAAAATGAAGAAATTCAAAATGACAAAAATAAAAGGTTTTAATCAAAAAATTAAAAAAAAGAAAATCTAAGCAATTAAATGTTTTGTAGAAAAAAATAAAATACCAAAATTTGCCAAGTAAAATCGACCGAAAATGTTATATGTATAGTGGAAAATGGCTAAAACAAACTGATACGATCTCTTTAGTATCATATATATTTCCTACGAAACGTAAGATCTATTCTTTAATATTTCTCTCTGCATAATCAAACCCTAGCACAAGACCACTATTTAAATATGAGAAAACCCTAGAATCCTAATCTAACTAGGAAAGATAATGACCTATACTAATAAAATACTTAATACTCTCCTAACCACTACTAACTCACGTCAATATCTATATCTAAATATACTATTCTAATTAATTAATAATTAAATATTAACTAAACCAATAATTAAATAATAAACTAAATAATATATCTTATCACAAACCCTTATATTTATCATCTTTAGCAGGGTATTTTTGTCAGATTTTGAAAAAAAATGTAACAGTATAGAGTTTTTGTATTTATGTATAGTACATGGTATATGATACAAAAGTCCATAGTACATGAGTGTTTTTGTATTTAACCCGTATTATTATTATCATTGTTGCATGGATTTAATATAATAATTAAAGTACCAATGGATATCGGAGAAGTCAAATGTGGACAATTACAATGTAAATTTCGACTAAAGAAATGTGAATTAAATAGTGTATGAAATGTGACATATTTTCATCAATTACATCATTCTATGGATGTCAATTTTTTTTTTAATTAAGTACCTTTGTCATAGATCTATTTGTCATTTACCCATTTAAAAAATGATGGAGGGGTTCTCAGTTTTCACTAATAGTCCATATTTTAATTTGGATATAATTACAATTCTTAGACCAATATATACTAAAATAGTTCAACTGGACGATTTGAATTTTTTTTAATAATGTTTTGTAGATGGACTGGATAAATCTACACTCTCGTATAATAGTTTCCAAACCTTACGTGAGATTGAAACCATACTAGATTAATCATGTGTGACAAACTCCACCTAGCAACCGTGGACAAGTAGATTGAAACTTGGGTCAATTGACAAAAGTAAGAGCGTACCAATAAGTATGCCTGGGTGGCCCCTGCCCCCCATAATTTTTGTAACAA